CCCTTCCACACCCTCCTTCCATCCCTTTAGTTTACTTTTTTTTGTTTTTTGGAGAGTCGTTTCTCTGTGTAACAGCTCTTGTTATCCTGGAACTGGATTTGTTAGCAAGTTGGCCTTGAACTCAAGAGATCCAGCTGCCATTGCCTCAAGCATAGTAGCCTTAAAGGCATGAGCCACTACCACCAGACATTTTCTGTTTTCTTTTCAACCAGAAATACTGGATTATCACTGGGACTGATCTTGGATATCCTGCTGTTGCCCAGGGTTAGTGTGATCTTGTGACTAGGGAGGTCTTAGAAGGATTGTAGAACCTTCCATGTGAGTTCCAGGATTCCACCCGCCTATCTTCCCCCAAGCCTTGCCAGGCTCCACTGTCCCACACCACCCCAGCCCCACCCCACTACACTGGATCAGTCTCTCAGAGGGGCAAGCAGTGCTGACTACAGCAACAACATCCCCAAGTCGGAGGCTGGTAGGCAGACCTGGGAATTGTACCTTCATGTGCTCCAGCAGCTTATACATAGGGTAGTTGTGGGGCAGATGAACTCAAGCACTGCATCTGGACACTGGTTACACCTGAGTTAATTGGCCTGATTGGGGCTTCCACCAGTAATTAGGGCTGCAGAACTTTTCCTTAATTATTTCAAATTCCTTTGTGTTTCCCCCTTCAAAAAATCTCCTTTTAAGTTGCTCCACATTTTTAGGTGGGGTATTGGAGGTTTTTGACATCTAGTTACTGAATTTATTTATTTATTTATTTATTTTTGGTTTTACGAGACAGGGTTTCTCTGTATTGTTTTGGGGCTGTCGGTCCAGCCTAGCCTCGAACTCACAGAGATCCGCCTGTCTCTGCCTCCCGAGTGCTGGGATTAAAGGCGTGTGCCACCACCACCTGGCTAATTATTGAATTTATTGATTTTTTATTTTTACCATTTCTATTTTGTTTTTGTTTTCTTTAAATTTAAATAAGAAACAAGCTATCTTCCCATGACAATCGAACTCCCTCTCACTTCCCTCCTACTCTGACCCCCCCAAACACATTAAACCCCCAACCAATACACATTCTGCTCCCCAGGGAGGGTGAGGACCTCCATGGGAGATATCCAAAATCTGTCATATCATCTGGGGCAAGGTCTAAGCCCTCCCGCAAGTGTCCAGGATGAGAGAGCATCCTTCCATGTGTAAAGGGTCTCCCAAAGTCCATTCCTATGGCAGGAATAAATACTGAACTCTTTTTATATTGTGAATATTATCCCTCTACTGGATGTGTAGTTAGTAAAAATCTTGTCCCAATCTATAGGCTTCCACCTTGTCTGAATGGCAATGTACTTTGCAGTGCAGAAACTTCTCAGTTTCATGAGGTACAATTTATTAATTGTTGGTGTAAGTATGTGTGCTTATGGGGTTGTGTTCAGAAAGTTTTCCTGTGCCAGTAAGTTGTACACTACCAGCGACCGGAACAGCTCTGTGAGAGATCACACCATGGTTTTATCTGAAGGAATATGGACCTTGGGACTACAGATTAGGAAAGCAGTTGTAAATTTTAAGGGATGCTTAATGGGCTATACTAGTGAAAGCAAGGAAAACAGTGTTGCTGAGTTTGGTTTGAAGTGTGTGGGTGACTGGATCAAGAGGTTTCAAAGGAGAAGAATATTTATAAGTGTGGTGATGTTTTGGTGAAGAAAATGGCTGCTGCTTGCCCTTGTCTGAAGAGTCTGCCTGATACTAAACTGAGGAGACTTGTATGAATCCCTTTGGCAGAAGAAATCCCAAACAGCCTAGCATAGACTGTGTTGTTCCAATATTAGAAGTAACCCTAATGAGGATTTATGATGACAAGGAGTAAACTGAGCTAGAATAAGGCACACAACACAAGAATTTGAGTAGAATAGGAGCACCAGTAACTGGACTGGATTTACATCCTGTGTTTATTTAGGGAAATAAACAGATTAAGACTTGGGATAAAGGGAGTTGTGGCCTCAGGGCAAGAATCCGCCCAATTAAATTTCCCTTGGATAAAAAGGAATTAAAGAATAATTTAGAGCCAGGTGTACTGGTGCACACCTTTAATCCCAACTGTAGCTAGGCAGAAGCTGGTTGACCTCTGAGCTTTAAGCAAGCCTGGTCTACTGAGAAAAAATCCAGAACACTCAAGTACAGGCAGTAAGGAAACCACTGAAAACAAAAAGTTGGTTAAGATGTAACTAAAAAAGAGTACCACGTTCAAGGTCAAGCAAGCAGCAGAACTTGGCAGCTTCACCTACATGGTTTTGGCTTTAGTGTCTATGGTAGAAGAAAAGCTTTGTGGAATCTCCTTCCCCAATTTAGGAAGGCTTTGGGGCCAGGCTTATATCAGGGATCTCTCTGAATGAAGGCCTACAGAGGCCATTGCATGAACCTGCATATGTGATGGTCTAGAATACTCCAGGATGTTGGAGATGCCATGGGATACCTGCCAACAATAGCTATCTATCAGGAGTAGAACCAGCCTAGGAAAAAGAAGTCATTTTCAGCAAAAACAGATGAAATTATTGGAATATCTGGTGCATTGACATCAGAAAAGAAGATGGACAGTTTGTAGTTTTCCCAGATTTTTTAAAGATTTTTTTGTTTTTTATTTTTATTATTTATTTTTATATATAAATTTAAATTAGAAACAAGGTTGCTTCACAAGTCAGTTCTAGGTCCCTCTCCGTTTCCCTCCCCTCTTCCCGTGCCCTTCCCCCCAACCTTCCAAATATCCCCTCATTTTCCCAGGGAGGATGAGGCCCCCATGGGGGTGCCCATAGTCTGTCATTTCATCCAGGGCAGGGCCTAGACCCTTCCCCAAGGGTTCAGGGTGAGAGTGCATCTCACATTGTTGGATGGGAGTCCAAAGTCCATTTGTATGCCAGTGATAAATACTGATCTACTGCCCAAGGCTCAATAGATTACCTAGGCCTCCTCACTGACACCGACATTCAGGGGGCCTTGATCAGTCCCATGCTGGATCCCCAGGCATCAGCCTGGGATTCAAGAGCTAACCCTTGTCAGGCCAGCTGTTTCTGGGGGTTAAACAAGGCCAGTCTTAATCTCTTTGGTCATCAGTCCTCCCTTCTGTTACTAGCTTTCTTGAGTTCAGCTCTGTGCTTAGCCGTGGGAGTCTGCCTCTTCTTCCATCAGCCACTAAATGAAGGTTCTGTTTCCCAGATTCTCTGGCCATGGAATTGTAGGCTGGCACACAATCGCTTTTTCTCTGGAAAACTGAAACACCAGAGAGAGAGGGACAGAGTCGCACAGACCAGGAGTTAGAAGCCTGGCTGGCTTCCAGGAGAAAAAGGGAAGCCCCTTTTCTTTCACTTCCTTTTATCTCTACCTTGACCCTGCTCTGATGAGCAGATAGCTTTGTTGTGTTCACTCCTACAAGGTATGGTCTTGTTGGAGGAATAGTATGCCTATGGAAGTGAGTTTTTAGGTCACATGTGTAAAAGTTGTCTGCAGGATGAAGATGTAGCTCCATACCCACTCTCAGCTCCAGCTTCAGGACCATATGTGTCCTCATACCACCATATTTTGGCACAGTGATTATAGAATAAAGATGTGATGCTGTTAGCCATCCAATTAAATTGCTTCCTCCATTCGCTTTAATGGTGTATCTTCTTAGCAGTAGAAATAATAATTAAAGTAGCATGCTGTGTGCTAATTTGCATCTTTTTATGCGTGTTTTTGTTATAGGAAAGTTTGTACCCTGTAGGAGCTTGAGCATATCTGTGTATGAGGGCTGAGGAACTTGAGGAGGGGATGCACAGTAGGACTGATATCTACCTCATTTTGCCATTGTAGTTCTTGGAATTAGGAGAGGTCCTGGTATATAGGACATGACACCTAGCAAACATGTGCATGTGGAGCTTAATGGGAGAGAAATATAGAGAACATGTCACTCTCCCTGTATGAATACAGAGACTATAATGTAAGGCAGACGCTATGTGTAGGTTGTAATAGCTAATTGGATATATGTAAGTGGACTTTAAGTTGATGGAGAAGTGTCATGTACCAGAGCCTGATATGTAGATTCATATGCATTAACTGGAGGAGAGAGGCTACCTAGCAGGCACAGTGAACCAAAGTGTATAAGGTAGTTGCTCTATAAGGCAGAGCATGACTACTGGGTGTTGTTACCTAGCATTTTCTTTATGTGTGTGTGTGTGTATGTGTATGTGTATGTTTGTGTGTATTGAGAAAATGAGAGGAGAGAGTAGATTGGGTTGTTTCTTTGACACTAGGGAAGGCAATACTTAGATAGATTTACACATAGAAAACAAGTTTATGAGGTGCATTGTGTGTAGGTAATATGGTTCTTAATGGGTTCTGAACCATCGACATGTGGAAAGCTCAGATTTATCATTGTAAACCTAATACCAATTGTGTTCCTGCATTGATGTGTGTGTGTGTGTGTGTGTCTCACTTTGACTGTAGGGGAGAGATGCCAAGAAGTTGCCTTCTGAGAGGTACCATTTGTCATTTTCAACCTTGTATTTATTAAAATAACATAGTCAAAATACAAATACAAAGGAGGAGAACATGTGTGTGGCCAAAGCAAATAGGTCTCTTATTGTCTGCAGTGTCACCTCTTTTCTTTGTAGCTTTCATGTGGATGCAAGTCTCACCACGGAGTGGTTCTAGAGAAAATCACAGTGCCTTGAGTGCATGGGAAATTTGCTTACTTATCAGTTTTCAGGCCCTGAATGTCCTAGATCCAAAGGCAGTGGATTCAAGCTTTGACTGATCACTGGTCATGTTGGCCCATGGATTGTTGTTCTGTGGAGACATCCAAATTTGGAAACCCAGTGGGTGTTTTATCCAGGGCTGATTCAAATGAGGATAAATCATCTGCCAGGCTGTACAGAGTATTCATATTGACTGCAATGTCCCCATGGGCACTGTTGATGACATTGACAATCAGGAAACCTCCTTCTGGGATTATTCAATCTGACCTGGGATTCAGATCAAGGCAGTAGCATTTATTGCCATGATATTGCTTCAGCATCTCTTTTCTCTTCCTTGAGAGTGACCGTTCCCACCTTCTGAAATGTTGGAAAGGCTGGTTCACTGGCTCTCCTCTTCAAGGGAAGAAGTGGTGGAAGAGCATGAACAGGTCTGTGGATGAACCAAGGCTTCTCATTTTGATGATGACTCTCCTCACAGCTCAATTTGTGCTTCAGAATTTTGAAAGTTGCTGTGATTTTATTATTTGGTTGTCTGAGAATTAGGGATGACACAATCTCTTCATGAGTATAGCCAATAGTATTCATAGTCTCTAGGACCCTGGGAAGGATTTCTTTACTTGAAGCTTCCATGTGCTGTTCAATTTTGCCAAGCCATTTTCTTTCCAGGAGTTGACATATTGTTATCCTGTGCTGGGTCTCCACCTTGAGTAATTGTGCAAGGATGATATAACAGGGTTTTGACAGGTGGAAGGGAATAGCAAACTTTGTGTTGGTGATGAGCCTGTACAAAGCAGGAGCTGTTGTTTCAAAATATGGATATTGTCCTGTGACCAGTACATATAGGACAATTCCCAAGCTCCACATGTCACCAGCTAGGCCATCAAAGGGTTTCCTTGCTAAGATCTCTGGAGCCATATAGAGCAAGGATCCACAGAACTTCTTCAACATCTGCCCCTCTTTGAGCTGGATCGCCATTCCAAAGTCACAAAGCTTGATGTTTCCACCTCTGTCAATGAGGATATTCTCCAACTTAATGTCACGATGTGTAATCAGCCTCTTGTGGAGAAATTGCACTGCTGCCACAATCTGTTGAAATATTGGTCTGGCGTCCTTCTCCTTTAGATACCCTACGTTCTTGAGGAGCATATGCAAATCCTTTCCTGGAACATACTCCATGACCACATAAGTCATTTTTAGTGTGTCTATGATGTGAAAAAATCGAACAATGTTTCTGTGCTCCAAAGATTGAAGGATCTGTACTTCAGATTTAATGTTAGACACAGAATTGTGATTTTTCTCAAGCACCTTGACAGCAACATGTGTATTTGTGGGAAGGTGGCAAGCAAGCTTCACCTCCCCAAATGAGCCAAAGCCTAGAGTTCTTACAATTATGAAATCCTTTTCAATGATGTCCTCCTCAATGTGCCCGACCATGATGTTCTCTCAATTTCAATTACTTTTTCTTGTTGGGAATCCCAAGTAACAACAATGCTGGAAAAAAAATTAAAGCGATTTTAGGATGGAGGTTTAGTCCTATAAATTATGTACCATGAAAACAGATAGAGCCTAAAGAAACCAATGATGTACTTCAATTTTATCCAAATTCTAGAAGACCCAATGTCAAAGCAGTAGATGAGAAATTATTGTAAATATCAATGGTGGAATCGCTGCTTTGTACATAATAAGGACAATACGGGGGTTAAAAAATGTGAAGAACATATCAAAATGAAAACCTTTGGCCCAAAGTGAGCAAGAGACACAAGATACAAATTAAATAATGAGAAAAGAAAGGTTAAGTCCTAAACAGCTTACAATCCACAGGGACTTTCAGGGATGGTTCAACTATTAAACCACAGGAAATTTGAAAGTATGAAAGGAAAGGAATTCCTAAATATGCATAAACATTGAAAAGCCATTAAACAGCTTAGTCATAAACAATAAGTACGGCTGGTAAAAAACTGGCTCCAAACCAGGTAGATCCCAGGCTTCTTGGATGCCCTGAATCTATCAAAACTTTTTGAGAAGGATGAACACTGTTCTGGAGGCATTTGTGTGACAACCTGACAGAAGCCAGAGTCTTCGGAGAGTAATGGACCTCAGTTGAGGAAATGGTTTCATGACATACAGCTGTTAGGCACTTTCTCAATTAGTAATCAAAAAGCAGGACTCAGCCTGTCTACATACTTGGACTTTTGATCCTTGGTTTTACACTAAAATAGGCTGATGAAGTCAGAAATCAGCACCATTCCATGGCATCTGCATCTGCTCCTGCCTCAGTGAATTGCTCTGTTTGGGTTCCTGTCCTGACTTTCTTTAGAACAATCAGAGGTCTTGGAAATGTAAGCTGATTAAAACTTTTCCTACTGAACTCTTGTTGGTCATGGTGTTTTGTTGCAATTATTGAAACCTTAAGACAAAACCAGGACAGAGGCAGGCTGATCTCTGTGAGTTCGAGGCCAGGCTGGACCGACAGCCTCCAAAACAGAGAAACCCTGTCTCATAAAACCAAAAAAAAAAGAAAAAAAAAGAAAAAGAAAACCAGGAGTAGAGAAAGTACTTTGTGAAAAGAAAAGGAAGGGAATGTATCCAAATGGATCGCTGTGCCAGTATTACACTGAGCCCACAAGCAATGAAGCATGGGGGAAGAGCACGAACAGGGATGCTGATTAACCAGGGCTTCTCGTTTTGATGATGACTGTCCTCACAGCTCAATTTGTGTTTCAGAATATTGAAAGTTGCTGTGACTCTATCATTTTGTTGTCTGTGTGATAGGGATGGCATAATCTCTTCATAGGTATAGCCAATGGTTCACCTAGCCTCAATGACCCTGGGAAGGTTTTCTTTACTTGGAGGTTCTACATGATCTTCAATGTGGCCCAGCCATTTTCTTCTCAGGAGCTGACATATTGTTATCCTGTGATTGGTGGGGACCTTGAGTAAGTGTGCAATGATGAAATGACAGGGTTTTGACAGGTGGAAGGAAATGGCAAACATTGTGTTGGTGATGAGCCTGTGCAAAGCATGAGCTGTGGTTTGTAAATTGGGAAGCAATGGAGGAGGACCATGGTCAATTTGAGTTGTCTGGGGTTCTATACATAAACAGACTGATCAAAACAGAGTAAGCAGCACCCTTCCATGGCTTTCGTGTCAACTCCTGCCTCAAGTAACCTTGTCTGTTTGAGTTCCTGTCCTGACTATCTTTAATTGTAAACAGTGATCTTGGAAGTGTAAGATGAACAAACACTTTCCTTTTGAAAATTCTTCTTGGTAAGGGTGATTTGTTGCAGCTCTAGAAACTAAGACAAATACCAAGGTTACAGAAACTACTTCATGATAGGTAAAGATAAGGAATGCATCCAAACTAATACCTTTGCCAGTATTACCCTGACAACACAAAGAAATTAGCACACAAATACAGTACAAACTCCTTTACTTACAAAGCATTGATGAGAAAGTCATTAATGAGAATAATTGACTTTTCACAACCATCTCAGCAACACACTGTAGATCCCTTCATTCAAAATCAAAATGGCCTCAGCTTGGGACTGGAGATTACTTAAAGGTAAACAAACTGAACATTTGCATAGCATATAAGGAGACTAAGGGGAAGAGACCACACTAATCACAGTAACTAGTGAACTCTAGAGTTATAATGAAAGTAACTAGAACTATGTATAAATTTAAAAGACACAAAACAGTTCCACACACATAAATCAGATGTGTTTGTGTTTTCTGGGTTATAAGGAATCAGGGAGCTGAGACGTTGTCAATGTCATAGTACTAGTAACAAAGATATGCTGGAAGGAGTGAATCAGTAAGGAGAATATGACCAAAATACAATAAGGCAGGCATAGATGTGGTATATTCAAACTGGGCATGTGTGATACATACTTAAATAAGTTTTAATTGGGGAAAGAATCCAAAGGGAAATAAAAGATGTAATTTTTAAAACTTAATATTACATAGTAATTAATGAAGAAAGGGAATACACAGGCAAAAATTAACCCTAGAGCAAACCAAACATTGTAAATATGAATAGGAATCACCAAACATAAATCCCAGGAAGGAATACTAACAAACTAGGAAACAACTGTGCTATGTTGAAGTTCAGTTGATTAGAGATCTCCAACCCTATCAGGTTCATTGTAACCTCATTACTCCTGTATACACAGGGAACACTCACTCCAATATATAAGTTCAAGGCTCAGCTGCAGGCTATGTACAAATGGACTAATACAAGCTGGGCGTAGGTGGGCCACACCTTTAATCCCAGCACAGGGGAGGCAGAGGCATTTGGATCTCTGTGAGTTTAAGAATGCCTGGTCTAAAGAGAGAGTTCCAGGGCAAGCTCCAAAGCTATATAGAGAAACCCTGTCTAGAAAACAAGACACAAAAAAAAAAACCCACAATGGACTAGAATGTATCACTATTCATAATTCCTCCTTGAAATTTTGTAAGCACCAACCACTCAGGGATTTGTAAGAATTGACAGTGTTTTTGTTGTTGTTGTTGTTGTTGCTTTGTTTTGTTACTTCGGCTTCTGTAACATACCAGTGCCCTGACTCTTTCATTGTAGCTGGGATCAAGTCCCAGTTTAGAATCAACACTAAGGGGGAAGGGTTTATGTGCACTCCAAGCAACAGTGTATCTTATAAAATAATTAAATCAACCCTACTTTCTGGAATTTATTGGAATGACTTACAGTTTGTTGTCAAAATCCAGGAGTTTCTCAGTCCACAAAGTTGGATCTCTTGTCTGATCTTCAATATATGCTGGAACACCAAAGTCGTACACTCTAATTAAAGTGAAGGAATGGACTTGCTAACCAAGCGAGGGCAAGTGGCAAATGAGCAAAAGCCACCTTCTTTCATGGTCTTATAAAGTCATCCAGCAGAAGGCGTGGCCATAGTAAAGGTGTGTCTATTTGCATGAAGATCTGGATTAAAGGTGTGTGTCTTCGCACCTCTACATCCTCATAGAAGGGATATTTCCCTCTTGATCCACAGCAAATCATTCAAGAATAATCTCTCTCAGATTTGCCCTTATCTTCTGACTTGTATTTCATTAGAGATGTAGTCAAGGTAACAACCAAAAAATTGTTATTACATTGGCAGAAGTCCATCACTGGGTGTGCCTTGCGATTTAGGAGTCTAGTCTGCTTCATTCCAACTCTCTGATCCCTGATTTAATTTGAAGATTTAAGAATTTAATCTTCCATTCAGGCCTTAATGACACTGGAAAACTGCAGTGAGACACACTGTATATTATTCTGACCAACGAGGTTGCTATGCAAATATTCAATACAATTAACAATTATTGTATTGGTTCCTGATTTCTTTTCAATTCATATTGCTTTCTCTCTGTCTTTAATGTTTTTTTGTTCCTTTTTGAGACACATTTTTTTCTGTGTATCAGGCCTGGGTATCTGGGAGAATAATTTGAAATTCAGATTTGTCTTGATCTCTCAGAGATCTTACTGCCTCTACCTTAAGAATTGTGAGATTAGAGGCATCAGCCACAATCCCTAGACACTTTGTTTACTTTTTTCTTTTGGTTTTGTTGTTTTGTTTTGTTGTTTTTGTTTTAGTTTTTGTTTTTCTAGACAGGGTTTCTCTGCATTGTTTTGGACCCTGTCCTGGAACTTGTTCTCCATACCAGGCTGGCTTCCAACTCACAGAGATCCTCCTGATTCTGTCTCCTGAGTGCTGGGATTAAAGGCTTGAGGCACCAAAGCCCTGCTGACAGTTAGGTTTCTTTTGGATCAGAAATACAAGACTATGTCTGGAAATTATTTGGGATATCTTTCTGTTGCCCAGAATCAGGGTTATATTTTAACTAGTCAGGTTTTGGAGGGGTTGTGGAATGTTCCATGTGAGTTTCAGGTTCCCACCCTGCTAACTTCTCCTGTTGATGGCCTCCCCAACACTTGCCAGGCTCTACCTGTATGCCTGTATCCTGCAGGAAGCACCACAGGCAGGCTGTCTAGAGAATTCTTGTTAATTCTAATTTCCCTGGTAGCACTTCAGATGACATTAGCCAACAGAACAATTCCTTCAGGGAATATTTCATTTGAACAGGGCATCAGCTCCAAGCAGGAGTATTTGTTGGGCATGTTATAGCTTTGTCATCTCTTTCTTCTTCCTTCCACACCATCCTGAAAGTGACCCTTCCCAGCTTCTATAATTGTTGGAAAGGCTGGTTCACTGGCTGCCTGCTTCAAGGGGAGAAGGGGATGAAGAGCACCAACAGGAATCCTGTTTAACCAGGGCTTCCCATTTTTCTGTGACTGTCATCACAGCTCAATTTATGATTCACAATATTGAAAGTTGCTGTCAATTTATTATTTGGTTGCCTGTGTCATAGGGATGAGAAAATCTCTTCACAGGTATAGCCAATAGTATATATAGTCTCTACAATCCTAGGAAGGATTTGTT